TTTGAAACGTTCTTTGTATACAAGATTTCGCGCGGTTGGACCAGAATTTCACGCGCGCTTTCCGTGTTTTTTTTTTTTTTTTTTTTTTTTTTTTTTTTTTTCCTCGGCAGTTTCCAGCTTATCATCGCCTGGTCCTCTGAAGGAAGGGATTTGGTTCGGCTCATGAGGTCGAAATGCTGATCTATTAATGGGAATTTGTACTTCATTTTCTTTAAGAGATTCGCCTGATCACTTTAACTGTAGCTTTTACAATTTTGCTTCGTAGTTTTGCTTTACAGTTTGACGGGAATCGAACGCCGCCAGCCGACGAAGAGCAGGGAAATACGCGCAAGTTGGAACGCAAATCAAGGCACTGTGATTCCCGTGATTGTTATCGCATCGGAGATCAAAACAATGCCACCATCAGCCGCAAATGGATTTTAAAATCACATTTCTTTAGATTTCGAGTCGGTAAAATGCCACGAGGTCAAAAAGAATGCTTTTCTAACCCTCGTTTTGTACCCGAAATAGTGCCGGTGTGGAACAAATGTTAGACACCGCGAGAGAGAGAGCTGTTGCAACAACTAAAATTCAGGCGCGGAATTTTAAACCTAAACTCTGTGATAAGTGCGGCAGTTTGTGACTTTTTCCTTCTCGGAAACACACATACACACGCACACACATACATCCACGCACACACACAAACACACACAATCACACAAAACGCACGAAGACATACACACAGACTCTCTCTCTCTCTCTCTCTCTCTCTCTCTCTCTCTCTCTCTCTCTCTCTCTCTCTCTCTCTCTCTCTCTCTCTCTCTCTCTCTCTCTCTCTCTCTCTCTCTCTCTCTCTCTCTCCTCTCTCTCTCTCTCTCTCTCTCTCTCTCTCTCTCTCTCTCTCTCTCTCTCTCACGCACACGTACAATTACACACATTTACAAATATTCTCATAAACACAGGAGCGCATGGAAGTAAAACACCACATCACACACAAACAAAACTAACACTCGTGTGTACAAGACCTCAGTGGATATCCAGCAAAGCTCTCTTTAAAGACTTTTAGCTTCCCTCGACGACCGTAACAGAAACCATGTAACCATCTGTTCAGTGAGTACTACGGACCGTCCATTCTTTTCAATGTGCAGACTGTGTTTTGAGTTAAAGTTGGGATGAATGGAAAATAATTGTTTGTTGAAAGAAAGTTGAAATGGTGACCAAGTGTTAAGGCTTTTTTTGTTTGGAGGAAGAATGAGTGTTGGGACAGACATGAAGTATTGGTATTACGAGTTGAGAATGAATATGGAGGTGGAGCGGAGGCTTTGGGGTGAAATATGTATTTTATGAATTAATAGAAATCTTATGTAGGTTTCTGCTCTCTCACTCTCTCTCTCTCTCTCTCTCTCTCTTCTCTCTTCTCTCCTTCTCTCTCTCCTCTCTCTCTCTCTTCTCTTCTCTCTTTCTCTCTCTCTCTCTCTTCTCTCTCTCTCTCTCTCTTCATTCCCCACCTTTCACCTCTTCCTCTTTCCCCCCTATCCTTCTTCCTCCTCCGCTCTCTCTCTCTCTATCAATCAGCATCTCCCTTCATCTCCGCGATCGTCACAGCGCCTCCCTCGCCAGAGAGCAGACGACCCCGGGGAGAGAACGGAGACAGACGACCCGGGGAGTCGGGAGGCAGACGACCCCGGGGAGTGGAACGGGAGACAGACGACCCGGGGAGTGGAACGGGAGACAGACGAACCCCGGGGAGTGGAAACGAGAGACAGACGACCCCGGGGAGAGGAAAAGGAGACAGACGACCCGGGGGAGGAACAGGAGACAGACGAACCCGGGAGTGGAACGGAGACAGACGAACCCGGGAGTGGAACGGGAGACAGACGACCCGGGGAGAGGAACAGGAGACAGACGACGACCCGCTGGCCATAACGACCCGCTGATGCTTGCGGTTACGGGGCGGTCTGAAGCACGGGAAGGGCGGAGCGGCGGGGGAGGGGCGGGGAGAGAGAGAGGAAGGAGAGAAAAAGGAAGTGGAGGAGACAGGAGAAGGAAGGGAAGGAATAGGGGGGGAGGGGGAATGAAGGAATGGCAGGGTGGGGGGAGAGGGGAGAGAAGGGATGGTGGACAGGGGAGGGGGGGCGGAAAGCCGAAGACGAGAAGGGATAAGGCGAGAGGAGGAGGGGGAAGGGCAGAGAGGGGAGAGAAGGGAACGGGGTTATGAGGTTTTAGGAAAACGCTAAATCTTTATACCTCTCCAAAATGAGTCGGCAGTTTTCCTAATTGGATATTCTCTCTCATCAGGAGGAGATCCCAATCCCGGGGTACGAAAGGGCCCTAACCTGCTCTAACCGTGGGGGGGAGGGGGGGGCGGCTGCCAGAGGGGGGGAGGGGGTTGCCACAGGAGAGGGAGAGGGTGGTTGCTTCCAGAGGGGAAAGGGAGGGGGTCAGAGGAGAACGAGGGGGAGGGGGTCAGAGGAGAACGAGGGGGAGGGGTCAGAGGAGAACGAGGGGGAGGGGGTCAGAGGAGAAAGAGGGGGAGGGGGAAGGCTGCCATAGAAGATTGGGGAAGGGGGAGTTCCTACAAGGGAGCGAGGGAGAGGATGCCAACGGGGAGCGAGGGGCTGCTAGGGAGGGAGGAGGGGGAGGGGGTCTGCTGGAGGGGAGGTGGAAGGGGGGCAGACTGTCGGAGGAGAGGGAGGAGGAAAGGAGGTGGGGGGGAGGAAAGGGTCAAGAAGGGAAGGGAAAGAAAAGACGCTCGGATACAAGAAGAAAACAACTTGGGATTGATCAGGCGAGACGATGGAGAGGAGTGGGAGTTAAATAGTTCTTTTTATTATTTTTATTATTTCGTCGCTAATTTGCATGTCTCATTCAGAAATCATTTTGCAGTCACCGTTACTTTTTAATCATATGTCATATAAAGGGAGGGGGAGAGGGAGGGGGATGGGGTGCTCCGTCCCTCCTCCTCCTCTTCCTCATCTTCCCTCCCCACTCCCCTTCTTCTTCACCTCCCTCGTCACCGCTCACTTCACCCCCTCCTCCTAAATCACGCTTTACCCCTCCTGGCACCCCCCCCCCCTCCTTAACCCTACTCCATCACACTTCTTCCTCCTCCTCCTCCCTCCTCACTCCCACTCCACCCTCCTTCCTCCCCTTCCATCCATCTAATTTACCTCTCATTCCCCGCCGCCAATCTCCTCTCCTCCCCTTCTCCCTTTCGTCTCACTTCCCTACCTCTTCCCCCTTCTCGTTATCTCCTCTTCTTCCTGATTTCTCTGATCCTTATCCACTTATTCTCCCCCTTTCCTATTCCTCTTCCCCATTATAACATTGGTGAAGGGCTCGCCTCCTATCTGTGTGATGCACAAGCGGATTTGCAGATGGAGGGACTTGTGCTCATGGAGGGACATTTGCTCTGCGGGGACTTTGCTCACATGCTAGGAGGGACTTTTTTGCACATGGAGGGACTTTGCTACATGGGGAACTTTGCAACATAGGAGGGACTTTGCTCATGGAGGGGGACTTTGCTCATGGAGGGATCTGTTGCTCATGAGAGGGACTTTGCTCATGGAGGGACTTTGCTCATGGAGGGACTTTGCTCGATGGAAGGGAGGGGACTTTGCTCATGGAGAATGACATTTTGCACATGGAGGGGACTTTGCTCATGGAGGGACTTTGCTCATGGAGGGACTTTGCTCCATGGAGGGACTTTTGCTCAATGGAGGGACTTTGCTCATGGAGGGACTTTGCTCATGACATGGAGGGACTTTGCTCATGGAGGGATCTTTGGAGGGACAAGGGTTGCCATAGGAGGGACTTTGCCTCATGGAGGAGCTTTTGCACATGGAGGGGACTTGCCATGGAGGGACTTGTGGAGGGACTTTGCTCATGGAAGGGACTTGCTCATGGAGGGACTTTGCTCATGGAGGGATGCATGGAGGGACGTGTTGCTATGGAGGGACTTTGCTCATAGGAGGGACGTTGCTACATGGAGGGACGTTGCTCATGGAGGGGAACGTTCATGGCTTGCATCATGGAGGGACGTTGGCTCATCGGAGGGACTTGCACATACGGTAGGGAGAGGACACATTATTGCTTCATAGGAGGGCGTTCTTGCTCATGGAGGGACTTTGCTCATGGAGGGACGTTTGCTGACATGGAGGGACTTTTTTGACTTTGCAACATGGAGGGACTTTGCTCATTAGGAGGGACTTTGTGCTCGATGGAGGGGACTTTTTTGCCTGCAAGGAGGGAACGTTTTGCTCATCGAGGAGGACGCGTTCTCTACATGGAGGGACTTTTGCTCAATGGGAGGGACGTTGCTCATAAGGAGGGAACGTATTGCCTCATGGAAGGGTACTGTTGTGCTCATAGGAGGGGAGACGTTCACACACATGGAGGCGCGTTGCGCCACATGGAAAGAGGGACTTGGAATGGAGGGACTTTGGCTCATGGGAGGGCTGTGCCACTTCAATGGAGGGACTATTGACTCACGGTGGAGGGACGTTGCTCATGGAGGGACTTTGCTCATAGGAGGACTCATGGCGAGGACTTGCTCATGGAGGGACTTTGCTCCATGCAGGGACCTTTGCTCATAGGGAGGGACTTGGCTCCATGGAGGGACTTTGACTTCTCTCATGAAGGGACTTTGCTCATTGGATGGAGGGACTTTGCTCATGGAGGGACTTTTGCTCATGGAGGGACTGTTGCCCATCGGAGGGAACTTGCAAACATGGATGGAGGGACTTTGCACATGGATGGGGGACTTTGCTCATGGAGGGACCTCTTGCCTCCATGAGGGACTTTGCTCATGGAAGGGACTTTGCTCATGGAGGGACTTTGCTCATGGAGGGACTTTGCACATGGAGGGACTTTACACATGGAGGGAGGGACTTTGCCTTATGGAGGGAGCGTTGCTCATGGAGGCGGACTTTGTCATGGAGGGACTTTGCTCATGGAGGGGACTTTGCAACATGGAGGGACTTTGCACATGGAGGGTTTGGACATGGTCCATGTGGAAGGGCTCATGGAGGGACTTTGCAGATGGAGGGACCTTTGCTCGGACTTTGCTCATAGGAGGAACTCAGAACAAATAACAAACCGGAATCTTTATTGACAATTACGATGACTCTGACGGAGACGAGAGTCAGCGACAGCGGCAGAGTCCGAACGGAGTCCTCGCGAGCGGGTCCGATCTGGCGTCTTGCGGGGGCGAAGTAGAAGGGCATCAAGGGTGGGGTGGGGTGGGGGGGCGTAGGGACCCTTGGCTCACGGGCACAGTTGGGGGGGGGGGGGGCGTAGGGACCTGGCTCAGGGGCACAGGGGGGAAGGGGGCATAGGGACCCTTGGGTCACGGGCACAGAGGGGAGGGGTGGGGGCGTAGGGAACCCCTTGGCTGCACGGGGCATCAGGGCGGGTGGGGGGGGAGCGGTAGGGACCCTTGGCTTCAGGGGCACAGGGGGGGCGTAGGGAACCTCCGTTGGCTCAAGGGGCCACAGGGGAGGGACCCCTCTTGGCCTCACCCACAGGGGGCGCCCGGGGGGGCGGGGGGGCCCCGTAAGGACCCTTGGCTACGGGGCACAAAAGAGGGGCGTAGGACCTTGGCTCAGGGGCACAGGGGGGCGTAGGGACCCTTGGCTCAGGGGCAGGGGGGGCGGGGGGGGGGGGGGGTAGGGACCCTTGGCTTGCACGGGAGGGGGCGTAAGGGGGACCCTGGCTAGGGACAGGGGCACAGGGGGGGGTCGTAGGGACCCTTGGCTCAGTGGCACAGGTCGATGTGCGTGCACATAGGAATCGGGGCACAGGGGGGGGAGGGTCGATTGTTCTTGCACATTTTTTCGATTAAGGGCTGCTTGTCTAGGGACGAACCCGCGGCTCGGAGGCGGACGGATTGTGGCGGCAGTCGCGGTCGGCGCAGGTTTGGCGAATGGCGTGATAAAATGCGGCGTGTAAATGGCGGCCGCGTGATTGGCGTGGGCGCTGGGGGCGTGCGGGGGGGCGGGGCGGCTAGGCGGGAGGGGGAGGGTCATCTCTCGGGGCAGTGGCAGTTTGCAATGGCGACGAGGCTTCTTGCGAGGGCGGGCGTTGGGCGCGATGGGGCGCGGGGCGGGGGGGGGGCGGGGGGGGGGGGGGGAGGGTCATCTCTCTGGGGCAGTGCAGTTGCAATGTTGCAATGCGGAAGACGGGAGGATGGAATGCGTTTATGAGATGTGTGAATTAGTCGTGGCAAGTAATTTATCTTTTATTTAATTCATTTTTCTCTCTCGTAAAAATGAGAGGAGGGGGGGGAGGGAGAGAAAGAGAGAGAGATGAGAGAGAAGAGCAAGAGAGAGAGGAGGGAGGAGAGAGAGGAGAAAGAGAGAGAGAGAGAGAGAGAGAGAGAGAGAGAGAGAGGAGAGAGAGAGAGAGAGAGAGAGAAGAGAGAGAGAGAGAGAGAGAGAGAGAGAGAGAGAGAGAAGAGACAGAGAGAGAGAGAGTATGTGTGTGTTTGTGTGTGTTGAGATGCATATGGGTATATATGGCATTCATATTTCATATATTTTTAAATCCTGAAATGCCTAGAGTTCATATATACTTCAGTCGGTTCGGCTTGCAATATTGTGCATGCATATTAAAGAAGCTTTACTGGCAGCCAACCTTTATTTCTTTTATTTTCACTATTTTTCTTTTTTTTTGTTGTTATTTTTTTTTTTTCTGCTCTACCATCGGAAGTTATAACCTTCCATAAACTTCCATAAAATTTGCTGCGAGGTCATCTGATTCCTTTTTCAAGGTGTTGCGTCATGATAATCCTTTTCGTGCTTCCAGATTCCTTCTTCAGGTCATTCGGCGACCGTCGGAGAGTCTTTTACTTTTTCTGAAGATTCCAAACACGGTTTTTCCCTCCGATTAGTTCCTCAGATAATGAGAAAGTGAGAGGGGAGAGAGGGGGATGGGGGAGACGCACACGCACACACACCAACACACACACACAGAAAAAGAGAGAAAGAGCAAAAGAAGGGAGAGAGAGGGGGGGGCAATAGGGGGGACACAAGAGAGAGAGAGAGAGAGAGAGAGAGAGAGAGAGAGAGAGAGAGAGAGAGAGAGAGAGAGAGAGAAGAGAGAGAGAGAGAGAGAGAGAGAGGGAGAGGAGAGAGAGAGAGAGAGAGAGAGAGAGAGAGTGGGTGGGAGGAAGACAGAATGACAGTGGCAAATATCAGGAGGGAGCCAGGAGGGGTAAAATGTGGTCTAGGAGAAGGGGGAAGCAAGGAGGGGAGGTGAAGTGAGTATGATGAGGGACGTGAAGGAAGAAGGGGGGGGGAGGGATGATGAGGGGGCGAGGAAGAGGAGGAGGGAGGGACGGAGCACCCTCTTCCCCCTCCCCCTTCCTTTATAGTCACATTTACGAAGCTCACAACGGCACGGACACGACCGAAGACGTGTCGGCTCCGCGCTACGACCTGCCTCTCCACGACCCCCCGCTGTCCCCTTCCCCTCCTTCTTCCGTCCCTTTCCCACCTCTCCTTTTCGCCCTCTCTTGTCTCCTCTCCTCCCACTATTTCCTTCTCTTCCTTCCTTACCGCCTTTCCTCTTCCCCCCATTTTCACTCCCTACTCTGCCTCTCCCTCCTCGCCCACTCATTCCCCTCCCCACACCCTCCTCCTCTCCCCCCTTCCCTGTCTCATTTCCCTCTAACTCCTCCTCCAGTTTCTCCACCTCCTTCCCTTCCTCCATTCCCTCATTTCCCTCAATTCTCTCAACCACTTCTCTCCCTAAAAAAAAAAAAATACATTCCACCGTTCACCTCTCCCCTTCCTTCCCCCTCCCCCTTCCTCTCTCCTTCCCCCCCCCACTCACGCCCGCTCCCCCCCCACTCCCCTACTAGACAAGATAAACATTGCACATTCCTGCTTCATGCTGAGAGCTGTTCCTGCGAGCTTATGTTGGCCGGAAAGATGTTAGTTTAGCCTGTCCCTCCGACGCTGCCTGCCCCATTCTTTCCTCTGCTTCTCGGACTGCTTATGAATTCTCGCGAGGAGGAGGAGGAGGAGGAGGAGGAGGGGGAGGAGGAGGAGAGGGGAGGAGGAGGGGAGGAGGAGGAGGAGGAGGAGGGAGGAGGAGGAGGAGGGGGTAGGAGGAGGAGGAGGAGGGGGAGGAGGAGGGGGGAGGAGGGGAGAGGAGGAGAGGAGGAGGAGGAGGAGGAGAAGAGAGGAGGAGGAGGAGGGGAGGAGGAGGAGGAGGAGGAGGGGGAGGAGAGGAGGAGGAGGGGAGGAGGAGGAGGAAAGGAGGAGGGAGTAGGAGGTGAGGAAGGGGAGGAGGAGGAGGAGGAGAGGGAGGAGGAGGAGGAGGAGGAGAGAGAGGTAGGAGGAGGAGGGAGTAGGAGGAGGTGGAGGGAGGAGGAGAGAGAGGTGGAGGAGAGAGGGTGAGGAGGAGGGGAGGAGAGGAGGGAGGAGGGGAAGGGGTAGGAGGTGAGGAAGGGAGGAGAGAGGAGGAAGAGGAGGAGGAGGAGTGAAGAGGAGGAGGAGGAGGAGACGAGGAGGAGGAGTAGGAGGTGGAGGAGGAGGAAGGGGAGGGGAGGAGAAGAGGCGGAGAAGGAGGAAGGAGGGTGAGTAAGGGAAGGAGGAGGAGGAGGATGGAAGATGATGATGATGATGATGATGATAATGAGGAGGGGGAAAGAGGAAGAGGGAGGAGATGAGAAATGGATAAGGAGAGGTGGTGGGAGAAGGGAGAGGAAAAGGACGAGGAGGAAACGAGGGAGGAAAAAAAGGGGAGAGGAAGAGGAGAAAAACAATAATTGCAGACGGAGTACAATTATTAGACGTATGACGATCACGATGATTATGATAACAATAACAAAGATGATATCAATAAGAACAACAACTAGATCCTCACCAACATCGACAACAGCAAAAAAAAAAAAAAAAAAAAAAAAGTTACTAATGATAATGATTAATGCAATAACGAAAATAATGATAGTGATGATAATGATAATGAGGAGGAGGAAGAAAATAATGAAAAAAGTAATGCTAATAATGATCATGACAATGATAATGATAGTAACAATAATTATGATAGTGATGATAATAGTAATAATAAGGATAATGATAATAATAATAATAATAAATAATAATAATGATAATAATAATGATAATAATAATGATAAATAATAATGTAATAATGATAATAATGATAGTGTTCATAGTAATGATGATAATAATCAATAATGATAATTATATCAATGACAAAAATAATTAAGATAATAATGATGATAACATGATAATGATGCACAGAATGTTAATAATGGTAATGATAAAAATGATAGTAATGATATCATCAAGATAATAAAAGTACATAGAGAGAGAAGGAAGAATGAATAAGGGGAGCAGATACTAGAAGAGGGAAAGAGGAGAAAACAGGAAGAAGAAAAATGAATAAAAGAACAATAAAAAGAGCAGAAATGGAGAATAAAAAGCATCGAGAGAAAGACGAAAGAGGACGGAAGGGAGAAAGGAAAAAGGGACAGACCATAATGAATAACGCATTCTGGTTCGTCGCCTCATTCGAGGTTTTTGTTCGTTTTTTCCCCTCTTCCCTCTTTTGCATTCTCATAAAAAAAATCTGGGAGAAGAAGAAGGAGAAAGAGAAGGAGACACGGAGAGAAGGATCAATCTCTGGCTCCCAGCAGGTGGCGGTGAAAGCTTCTCTCTTTTTCTTCTTTTTTCCTTTTTATTTACTTTCGTTTTCATCTCGTTCCCCCTTTTTTGTAATATCACCTTTTTTTTTTTCTTCTTCTTCTTTATTAACTCCCTTTTCATTTTATAGTTTTGGAATGTTCTGCCCGCTTGGCAACAGATTCGACCTTCCGAAAATGTCTTTTTTTTTTGCGTTTTGGAGAAGGGAAAGAACACGAGTATTGCTGATATTTCTCTCTCTCAAAAGTTTTTTTTCTTTATTATTTTTTAACGATGACAGGGATAATAATTGTAAATTTGGGTTTTTCATTATCATTATCATTACTATTATTATTCTTTTTCATCATATAATCATTTTCAATATTAATTACTAATAAAATTATTTAAATTATTACTAATAAATTATTATTATACTATAAAATTAAATTATTATTAAACTATAAAATTAAATTATTATTTACTATTATTATCAATCAATTACAATTCTCACCCACCCTTATTAATTATCAATATTACTGTTCAATCATTTTTTATCAACTGATTATTATTATACTATCATTTATTATATATCACTATCCATTATTATTATCACTATCCACTTAATTTATTATCATTACTATTGTTATCATTGCCACATTTGTTATTAATTTATATCATTTTACTACTGGGAAATATGGACGATGTTTCTCTCTCTCAACAAGACCAAAAGTGATGTGCATTATGGAACCCGACAGGGACGATAAAGTTTTGGAGGGGGGAGGGAGAAAAAGAAGAAGACTAAGAGAGTGAGAGAGAGAGAGAAGGGGGGGGGGGAGACTAAGGGAGAGAGAGAGAAAGGAGGAGAAAAAGAGAGACAAGAGAGTGAAAAGAGAGAGAGAGGGGGGAGACTACAGGAA